AAAAAAAAAAAAAAAAAAAAAAAAAAAAAAAAAAAAATAATACCTACCCTGTAGAATTAACGTAAGGATTGATATGTTGACTAAAGAAAAAAATTAAGTTTTTAAAGAATTGAAGTTAGTTTAGGAGCCTTACTGAGGACTATAGACTGAGGCCTGCAATCTTGGCAGAAGTAATCTTGGCAGGCTGTTCCAACACGGTATTTCAGTTGAGGTTATATACAGTATAGGTGAAGATTTAGTATGTGTAAAATCGTATCAAAGTTTAGAGATAAGTATATCTGTTTATAGATTGCAGAAGTATAATCATTAACCTGCCAGACATGAGCTTATGTGTAGGTGAAGGCAAAGACCAGGGTCGTTTATCTTTGAAGGAATGCAGTGACTCAGGCAGGAGATTTGGAGGGCAGGTGTGTTTTGTTTTGTCTTTAAGGCATTTTTTTCTGGAGAGCTGTATTTTGTTTTTTTATTTTGAGAGAGTTTTGCTGTGTTGCCCAGGCAGGAGTGCAATGGCACCATCTCCATTACCACCTCTGCCTCCTGGGTTCAAGCAATTCTCCTGCCTCAGCCTCCCGAGTAGCTGGAATTACAAGGCGTGCACCACCACACCCAGCTAATTTTTGTATTTTTAGTAGAGATGGGCTTCATTGTGTTGCCCAGGCTGGTCTTGAACTCCTGGCCTCAAGTGATTCGCCTGCCTCAGCTTCCTAAAGTGCTGAGATTAGAGGCGTGAGCCACTGCACCTGGCCGAGTACTGTATTTTGTCACTGTTGGGTTTAAGCAGAATGAGCACATAAGGCTTTTAATGTTTGTCATACTCTCCTCTCACGGGTAAAATAATGTACGTGACTTGTACGGGAGAGACCATCCTCTCCTAGTACCCTCATCCCAAAACCCATGCAGCACCAGCAGGCCCTGCCCGAACATTCTGTCCCTCCAAAAGCTTCCCACGGTGGGCATGGCATCACCACACTGGAATTCTTCTTAGGTTCTTTATTAGTTTTTCAGCACAGTTAACTCTTTCTACGTTGACTAGAGTTTTGTTTTACATTTTGTCATCTCATGACAGCAGCTACCAGAACACACAAAATTAGGCTCTTCACTTCGTGGGGAGAAGAAAATAATAAACATTAAAAGTTTACCTTGACCAAAGACAGCCTCTGAAGGAACACCACATGGGAGGACCCAATGTGTGTACACACACACATAAACACACACACACACACACACACACACACGTATAATGTATAGAATATTTATAGATATCTCATCTGAAAACACAGCAAAAAAACAAAACGAAATCCAAGAGTTGCAGTGCTATCTACAGTAAGAGGGATTAATTCTACCAGCTTTCAAACAGTCACATTCAGTATTCAGAGGAAGCACGTGAGGGGGTAGAACTGGGGAGAAACTAACACACCACCAGGCTCGTCATGGCTTCAGATTATAGAAGGGGGTGATGTGTGCAAAGGAAATATGCATCTAGGTGTCCTCTCAGCCCCAGAACACCCGCCACAACCCTCCCCGCTTCACAGCCCTTCATTTTTTCATTGCTCTCTCCCCTATTCTGTTTTGGGGTTTGCGACCATTGATTTAGGGTCCAAGACAAATGGCTCTGGTTTCTGGGCAGCAAAATTCTACGGGGTAAGGTGGGTGGATGGGAAGTATACGGCACAGTCCTGGGCTTCAGGTGGAAGGAGGAGGCTGGGGTGTGGGGGAAGCCTTTCTACTCTACCTGGCCCATGTCCAGAAACTTCAGCTCCCAGCAAGCCCCAGCCCAGGCAGCTATGGGGAGGTGGGACTGTGGAAGCCTTGCTGCCTTGGGCCAGCTGACCAAATAAACTCTCTTCCTTAGTGATGCTTACGGGACACGCTGGCGCAGCCTGGCCAGAGCTCTGCCTGAAACACCACACTGCTACTGATGGCATTGCCCTCTGGGGAGCCTGGGGGCAAAAAAGGGTCTCCAGGAACTCAGCTACCCCTGCCTGTGGCTACCTGTGGGCTCCCAAAGGCAGTCGCCATGAAGTTCTCAGGGGTACACACACCACACCTGGGCTCTCTCCTCCCCTCTCACCCCCATCAGGTCACTGTGGGGACAGAGGACCAGGTGACTTCTGCCTCAGGGAGGCCTTGGCTCAGAAATGGGACAGGGCCAGGAGGCGGTAGAGTGTGGGCTGTTAGGGACAGTCTGTGGGGTTCCTGCCCTCACAGTTCTCCATGTTCTGTCTTCCTTGGGCAGAGAAACCCCCTGACATCCCTGCCTGCCTGGCTCCACAGCACCAGCTGGGCCCAGAGAGCACCAGGAAAGTGGCTGCCCAGTCCGAGCGCCCCCTCGTGGCTACTGTCCCGATGATTGTCACATGTGCTATGAGACAGAAATAGGTGTGCTTGATGGAAGAGGGGGGAAAGGGCCTCCCAGGGCTCCCATGCCAGTGCCTGAGCTGGCCCCTGAGTCCCCGCGGGCCCAGCACCCACCCTCTCGAAGCTGCTGCCATCTGTAAACCTGCCTGCCCAAGGGCTCACCCAGGATGGCCTGGATCTGCAGCAAATCTCCCTTCCTGCGGCCCTGCCCTCCTGTGCCTGGGCTGCAGGGAGTGGGATGAGAGGGGTCCAGTCGGCCAAGTTACCATGGAGAGTGGGATGGGGTGGGGAAGAGTGAGCCCCTCAAAACATCTGGAGACGGTTCCGCCACAGCATCTAACATAGATCCCCTCATATTTTTTTTCAAACAGACGTAACCCCATTTCCTCCTCTTTGCCCTCACAAAAATAAACTAAAGGGAACATGAGCCGGCGCACGGATGGCAGTGGGACCTCGATGCGGGCGGACAGCTGGGTGTCGTTAGCGGGACTGAGAGCTTCAACAGGACACCTCCATGGTGTGGTTGACCTGGCCCAGCCCCTCGCTGCTCTCCGAGTGGGTGCAGGCCTGTGGGCGGCTGCCATCCACCGAGCTGGCACTGGTGAGGGACGCAGTGCGGGAGCGTGCCAGGCGGGTCATGCTGGCCGAGGGCACTGTGGACAGAGACAGGAAGGGTGTGAGGACCAGCAGGCAGGGCCAGGTGCCTCCAGTGGGAAAAGTAGGCTGCAAGCAAAGCGGCTAGCGAACCGTTCCTCCAAGGCACAGAGGGCCCCTCCCGGGCCAAGAGGTTTGTGGCAGCTGTCGGGCCAGGGGCATGCAGGGCCGGCGACAGTGAGTGGGCCGAGGGGGCTGCGGGCAGCAGGGCCCTCTCAGCGGCTGACCAGGCATCGAGAGCTGGTGCAGGGAGGTGCTGGGTTTCCAGCTGTGCCTCCCTCAAGAGGATGTGGTGGAGAAGCAAGACTGCTTCCGTCAAGGAGGACATGGAGGGTGGCCTCACGCTGCCCTCAATTCCGACTCTGCCCTTCTTCTTTGGACTTTCCCAAGCAAGGCTTGCAGGAGGCCAACTCTACCCTCCTGAATGCTCCCGGCCACCTCTGTGGCTCAGGCAGGGCCAGGCCTGGGCTCTACCTCTGAGGAGGGTCTGTTTCCAATCCCCAGACCTCTGAAAGCCACGAAGCTCATGACAACCTAGAAGCAAGACTGCTCAGCAACCCAGCTGATCTACAGGCCCAGGGCGCAGAAGAGCAAGAATCTGTGGGGTTTCTGAGTTGAACAGGACACGAGAAGGTTCCAAACCACAGCACGATGCGGCCTGGCTGCAGCACTGCGAGGAGGAAGGAGCAGGGAGGGGAGGCTGGGCATCCATGCATCAGGGGAAAGGGCCGTGGGGCTACCTGCTCCTCCACTCAGCCTTCGGTCCTTCAAGTACGCAACTAAGAGAGAAGACAGAGCCGGAGAGGGGGGCGGGGGTGGGGGAGACACAACATGGTGAAGAGCGTGGTCGGCCAAGACAAGGGCGTCGAGATGACCCAGAGAGACAGGACAAGGGACAGGCACAGAGAGGCTAGGGGCAGGGTCATAGGCTCTGGAAGCCCACTCCTGCCCATCCACTCAGCAGTGGCTCCCCAGAAAGATCTCTGGCCCAAGGGAGCGCTGACAGCAGGTGGGGTGCTTATCCCCTCACCATTCTGCTGGGCCTCAGTCTCCTGCATACAGAATGGGGGAGGCCTGCGCCCTCTGCACCCCTCTCAACTCAGGGCTGCCTGGTGGAGCTTCTCCCCAGGCCGGTGAGAACGCATCTCAGCTCCTGACAAGCTTCCTCCGATCACCCTGCAAGTGCTTGCTGTGCCCCAATCCCAGCCTCTGCGGAGCCTCCCTGTGGGCCCCAGAGCTCTGCCCTGCTCCAAAGAGCATTCTATTCCTGGGTGTCCTCGCCAGCCTTCTCACAGGCTGCCCTCCTGTTTGTTTGCCCTGG